TTTAAAAAATCTCAACCTCACCATTTTTGTAACCTGACAATGTGGTAGCCCCAAGAGACAGTCAGAGTCTTTCTATGTATTTAATATAGCAATGGGAAGAGAGAAAGCCCCTCCCTGACTCCACCCTTTCTATCTTGTAAACTAAATGATTTACTTGGTTTGAATCATTCTGCCATGGGCTCAGAAATGATAACATGGAGTTCATATTTATGTTGAAAGAAAGAAAAACTGTTTACAAATTCTGAGCCAAGGGTCCAGGTTACTTTAGCTGCAGCTTATCTGTGAATCAAATTATCTAAGGAAAGTCTAAAAAAAAGACCAGATTCTCATCAGAATGTAGTATTAACCCAAAGTAACTCTGTACTTTTGGGCTGTGTCGACACTGGCATGATCTTTCACCAAAGTGGCCACTTTTCCATAAACACATGCTGCCTGTCTACACTGGCGGGGAGTTCTTGCGCAAGAACACTGACGTTCTGATGTGTGAAGTCAGTGCTTCTTGCGTAAGAACTATGACACTCCCGCTCAGGAATAAGCCCTTTTGCGCAACTGTTCCTGCGCAAGAGGCCAGTGTAGACAGGCAACATGAATTTCTTGCACAAGAAAGCCTGATGGCTAAAATGGCCATTGGAGCTTTCTTGCGCAAGAGAGCATCTACACTGGCACGGATGCTCATGCACAAAAGCACATCTCTTGCGCAAAGGCACATGCCAGTGTAGACGCTCTCTTGCGCAAATACTTTAACAGAAGTCTTGCGTTAAATAGTTGCGCAAGATCATGCCAATGTAGACATAGCCTGGATTAACACCAGATTTCACTGATTTTAGCTTGTGGACCATCACATCCCATATCTTTGAAGCAGAACTCTGACAGTGCCAGCATTCACAGATGTTTGCTGCAGGGAGAATTTAAAACCAAAAAATTTACTTGAAGGTGTCTAGGCATTGCTCAGGGAATTGGCAATTGGAATGGGTGCTTTTCAGATCTAGATTACTGCTACAAATCTAGAATAAGAAAGCACTAACCAAAATGTATTATTTGATGGCTGTGCAGTGTACTTGTTTGGCTTCCACCACTATGTCTAATTGACAGCAATTAAGAGGAAAATCAGGCCTCTCATGGATCTGGGAAATCCAGTTATAGTATGGTTTCTTCTTCCCTGCCAGGAAAGAAACAAGCCTGTTATAATTTGTTGCAGGCAGTTAACTTTGGCAGTTAATAGCAGTGGAGCTTGCTTGGGAGACATGGAGAGATACTTTTGGCAAGGAGAGGGCTGGGATCAGAGGACTCAGCTGAACCCCAAGGGAGTTTTCTGTTTTCTCACTTCTGCTTGTTTGATTTGTTTGTAAGGGAAAGACCCAGTTGACTGCTGTGCTGTTTAGTTAAGTCTGCTGATCCTCCCACCATTTCACACACTGTTGTGTCCTCAGGAATAATTCAAGACCAAGATTGTCCAAGCTTTTCACACACTGTTGTGTCCTCAGGAATAATTCAAGACCAAGATTGTCCAAGATCTTCCACAGCTTTTTCTGAGCGCACGCTAGAGCTGGTGACTGCAACAGGCACCCTCCCAAGAAAACTTTTTTTTGTTTCCATTCCCCACTCTCCTTTAAACCACACTCACCAGCAGCCCAATGGGAGATGGAGGAGAGGCCTATTTGGCTACTAGTTTTCAAACTATGGGTTGCAACTGAGTACTGGGCCATGGAATGTCAAGCACTGGGTCTCATTGCTGCAGGGGGATCAGCTAGCTCCCTGCCTGACCTTGCAGCGCAGACTGCACCACAGGCCCAGCTCCTGGAGAGGAGGGGAGAGCATACAGCAAAGTCTGCAATGCCAGGAGGCAGGAAGCTGCCTTAGCACTCCCGCTGCACCTCTGAGAGCCATTCAAGGTCAGCCCCTCCTGCCCTAGCAATGACCCCCACTCAAGCCAGAGCCCCCTCCTACACCTCAAAGCTCTCATCTTCAGCCCCACCCTGGAACCCACAAACCAGTCAAATTATATGGGGTCACAGACATCAACAACTTTCTTCAACTGGGTCTTGAGAAAAAAAAGAGTCTGAAAACCACTGTTAGACTATGATTTAGCCAGCTGACTGCCAGAGTTTAAGTATCCTTCTTTAGTATAGTGTTTTCTGTCCAGCCAAGCAAGAAAACATTGTTTTCTCTGATTGTATTTATTATAATTGGGCAAAATCCCATTTCTTTCCAGTTCAAAGGCAAATCAATGCAAGCATTCTCTGCTCACCCCAACAAGGGTATATCTGAAGTGCCATTCATCCTCATTATGAAATTTCTTGCAAATAAAAACCTTGACAAAACAAAAACACATAACCTAAGAACTTCCACCATGCCTAAAACTAGAAGTAGATGTGCTGAACAGCCAGGCTACGTCTACACTGGCCCCTTTTCCGGAAGGGGCATGTTAATTTCAGCTATCGTAATAGGGAAATCCACGGGGGATTTAAATATCCCCCGCGGCATTTAAATAAAAATGTCCGCGGCTTTTTTCCGGCTTTTAGAAAAGCCGGAAAAGAGCGTCTACACTGGCCCCGATCCTCCGGAAAAAGCGCCCTTTTCCGGAGGATCTTATTCCTACTTCAAAGTAGATTCCTACTTCAAAGAAGAAGATTAAAAAAAACAAACCCACTCATAAGCCCTCTCTCCCCGTCCCAGCCCTCCACATGGTCCATGGAAGCCAGCACTGCAGAACTCTTCAAAAGCCGCCAGCGACCATTCCCAGGACACAAAACCGGGACGGAACGATCAGCCTGGAAGCGGCTTCAGTGGAACGTGGCGGACACGTGGGAGCTCGAGAAGGACTTTGCCGCTCCACTTTGTACCCCGCGATGAGCGCTAGTAGCCCCCCCCGGGCTGCCCTGAATGACGTTTCCACTAGAAGTCTCCCTGGCCAAGAGGATGCAGCGTCTGGCGGCGCCGGGCCGGAGGCCGGAAAGCTGCCAGCGCCCCC